AAGTGTTTTACGGCGCTCACAACTGCATAAGGTCATATGAGCGCGCATGGCACGTTAAACTTTTTCCGTATGTAGGAAATTTTGAATTTTGTCTGGGTGGAGGCTGAAACCTACTCTTATCGATTTAAGGCTACCAAGGGATCTTTAACATGCGCAACTTGCGCACGGGACCTCCTAGAGTTTTCGCCCTTTTCCGAGAAGGCTAGGTGTAGATCATTCCTACCAGAAAATCAGGGGTGTGGCTGAAAGACAGCAGTAAGAAAGAGCCAAGGAGTAGCTGTAGAAAGAATGCAGAAAAAGTCAGGAGCCCGGAGGAGAGGGCAAAGGGGGTGAGGGGGTGGGGACAGGAAGAGGAGACGAAAGCAGACGACAGAACATTCTTAGAGAGCAGGAAAGGAGGTGAAAGGAGACAATTCTAGAGAAGAAAATTTTTTCGGTCACTACCCTGATTCGAACCCGGGACCTTTGAATGAGAGGTGAACAGAGAGATGAACGAGAGCCCCCGTTTTTTAAATGTTTTTAAAGCGTATGTTATTTAATTTGATGTTGTTACCACCTTTTAAAAAAAAGTGTTATGCTCTACCAAAACTAAATACTGACACTGGCAGGCCCCTTCCATACTTTACATGTAAATAATATCCTGTACGTTTTCTTGAATTACACATGTTTAGGGTTAAAACGGCCAATCTTTGGATAGGTTAACACACGTCTTTATTTGTTAATTTTTGTAGTTGTTTATGTGCTGTTCTAATTTTGATTTCATTCTATTTTGAAACCCGCGCTCATATGACCTTATGCAGTTGCGAACGCCGTAAAACACTTACCAAAACATATTTTGAAACCTATATTTTTCATGTTTTACATCCTGGGTGGCTACAAATGATATTCTGGTTGCACAAAATGGAACACAAGAAATTCAGGTGCTTTAGATGAAGTCACCTCTGTCAACATATTGCTACACGTCGTCACAGAGAGTTGAGAGCTTGAAACTTAATGGCAACTTTTTGGGCAACTTTTGCCATTTTTGTGGCAACTTTTGGCAACTTCTGGACAAAAAAATGTCAACAAACGCAGATGCCAGACTAGATGCTGTAACATGTACCATTGACATAAGAATAGTTTGTTTTGATCTATTGGGTTTTAGATTTATTGAGATTTAGGGG